ATCGAATTAAAAGTTCCATCCTGAATATCACTGATCTCATTATTGCGCAGCGAAAGGCCCCCCAAGTTTCCCAGCCCTGTGAACATGTCAGATCTGAGGGTTGTTAACTTGTTGTTATACAGTTCCAGCCTTCTCAGTTGTGGTGTTGAGTTAAAAGTTCCAGCCTGAATATCACTGATCTCATTATTGCTCAGCGAAAGGCCCCCCAAGTTTCCCAGCCCTGTGAACATGTCAGATCTGAGGGTTGTTAACTTGTTGTTATACAGTTCCAGCCTTCTCAGTTGTGGTGTTGAGTTAAAAGTTCCAGCCTGAATATCACTGATCTCATTACTGTATAGAGAAAGTTCCTGCAAGTTTCCCAGCCCTGTGAACATGTCAGATCTGAGGGTTATTAATTTGTTGTTATACAGGGCCAAGTTTTTCAGTTGTGGTGTATGATCAAAAGTTCCAGCCTGAATATCAGTAATGTCATTATCATATAGATGAAGGTTCTCCAAGTTTCCCAGCCCTGATAACATGTCAGATCTGAGGGTTGATAACTTGTTATAATGAAGGTGTAAGGTTCTCAGTTGTGGTGTTGAATTAAAAGTTCCAGCCTGAATATCACTGATCTCATTAAAATCTAATTCAAGTGTCTCCAAGTTTCCCAGCCCTGTGAACATGTCAGATCTAAGGTGTGTTAACTTGTTAATAGACAGGTGCAACCCTCTCAGTTGTGGTGTTGAATTAAAAGTTCCAGCCTGAATATCACTGATCTCATTAAAATGTAATTCAAGTGTCTCCAAGTTTCCCAGCCCTACAAACATGTCAGACCTGAGGATTGTTAGGCGGTTCTCATAAAGAAATATCCTCGTCAGGTTTGATAAGTGATAGAATGCCTGGCTATTGATAGTAGAAATGCGATTCCATCTAAGTTCTAAAGTCTCTAAGCTCCTATAACGTGAGAAATCAGACTGACTTATGGTTGTGATTCGATTATGTCCCAACCCCAGCCATGTGATGGTTGTCGGCAGGTCCTGAGGAAGACTGGTGAGGCCCTGATATCTGCAGTTACAGACTGAAGTTATGCAGATGCAGTCATGATCAGCTTCTGCAGTTCCCAACACCTTAAGGATGACCAGGAGGAACATCAGCACACCTGCTGGCTTCTTGAACATGATGCAGTAAATGTCCTGGTGCAGGATTAAGATACTAAAATAAATGTAATGCTTGTCAAGTAAATCATAATTACTTGATTGCACATTTTACACTTAGGCCACACCAATTTAATTTCTTGGTTAACGGATTTTTCTAGAAAATAATGGAGCGGGCGGGCGGAAAAAAAATAAAAATAAAAACAGGCCTAGGCATCCTATTATGGCCCAAAATGGTATGATAGGAGCCATGAAGTCAACACACTAGGCTAGTTAAAAATTTTAACAATAAATTTTGAACTTTTAATGATACCACTGCATTGAAAGATGGAATAACTGTAACAACAAGGAAGAAAAGGACTGTTTTCAACTCTTCAGGGCAAAATATGAGCATTTTGCAGTTGATTCTGAATTTTTATTTTTTTTTGCAAATCAGAAAAAAATGAAGAGGCGAATTTATTAACCAAGAAATTAAATTGGTGTGGCCTTACATACCACTTCTTCATACTACCATGTTAGTAGGATCAAGGAGGTTAAATACTTGTATTCAACCTTCTTGGTAGGATCAAACTCACCTTGATACTGATGTTGTGAAGACTGACAACTTTCAGATACAGGACTTCTTGACAGCCTACTGCACTTAGGCTGTCAAACCTGGAACCAATGATAATTGTTAATTAACACTTTTTTATGAGTACATGATGTTGAATATTTTATGAATAAACTACAAAAGTAAAAGATAATACTTTTGATTATTGTTGATAGTTTATGAAGTCCTCTAAAAATTGTTAACTACTTGATGCACAAATTTTATCGCTGGGACCAAACTTACCTAGATTATGATGCAGGGACAGCTGTCAGTCACAACCAAGGCTTCACGATTATCTGCACAAACCCTGGAACTAACAAAAAAAGTGTAATTGTTAGTTGTGACATTCTGTTTGGGATCAGTGAATAGCAACAGGGCAGTATTAAGTATAATGTACCAACATGATGCCTACTAAAAAAGTCCAAAAGTACCTTGAAGTTTGTCAAAAGTTTCTTTTGAAGACAGTCAGAACTTCAGACTTGTGGGATGTCTTCTCTCCTTGGACCTGCTGAGCTTAAATGTTGTTCGTCTATTTTAGAACTGCGTCACAACCAGTCATAACCAGTCGTAACTAGAAAAGCCTGATTTGAACTTTGAACATGGCATGACACAGTACTCTTGACTGGATATTGACCAGGACGGTTAAATATTCATCAGCATACGTGCTCACTATCATGTGCACAGTTTTAGTAGGTTACACAAACAATCATATAGCGGTATATGGCCGCATTACAAGTTGTCATGTACACTGTGACACACACACACATACACACACACACACACACACACACACACACACACACACACACAGCTGGTGTGTTATGCCGAAAGGCGGTTATACTGGCTATACAATGCAGATACAGATACAGAACACACACACACACACACAAAGCACACACACAAACACACTCAAACACACACACACACACACACACACACATACAGTGTCACACACACACA